TATATATATATTTTTGTCCAAAAATATAATTTATCGTTTAATAAATATAAAGTCGAGACGAATTAATCGTAAAAAGATATATGTCGGATGTGGAAAAGTATTATTTTATTTTCTTTAATTGTATCAATTTGTACAAATGATGATAAACCTAGTTTTAATCATAAATTATAACGGATAATTTAATAATACGTCTTGTCGGGCTAATTCCAACAACATAGGATCGTCGAAGAATTTATTGATAGAAACATCTTCGGAGAGACCTTTACGTCTACGTGTCTTTAACATGAATTCTCTAGCTAAATGTGTAGCAGGTTGTGGTTCTAATGGTCTAATGGTAATAGTTTTATCCAGAGGATCACCCGGTACAATTTGCCAGTGATGAAAAACGGACAAACAGAATGCTTGGCCTTGAGTATGCGTTCGCAAATCTGTTTCAAAACCAAAACTATCGATTGCAGGAATAAAAGCTTTAATTGTATACAATGGACTTCCTGGAACAGGAGCATCTTGAGTAACGTGACCTCGACGTTTTGCTAGAACAGTATAAACGGCGGACACGCAATCGGCAGGTGCTTGAACTTCGACAAAGAAATAAGGTTCCATTAATCTTGGTGTTGCCATCAAAAAAGCCGAATACGCGACTCTCCTAGCGGTTGGAATAATTTGACCACCTGATTACAATAAATCAAAAAAAAAAGAACAAATAGATTAACACGTTGACTGGCGAGCAAAATTTGTTGGTTTTCACACAGCGCTGCAATTATGTCTCACATAATCTTGCAAATTCAGGCTGATACAATAAGTAAAATGTAAATTGCTGAATTAATTGGTAATAAAAGATATTATAATATTGAAAGTGACAATAAAAAAGAATAACAATAATAATAATTATGGTCAATTATTAATTATACGTACCTCCTCGATGCAATGGTTCTTGAGCTATTACAGCATCTAATATTTTAAATTTGACGTTTCGAATGGGCTCTTCGCAAAGTGGTCCTTCACGTGTACCCCATTGAAATCCTTGAATAATAGCATCACGAGCACTGCTCAACAAACTCTTGTCCACTTCGGATGGTAAAGTATCGTCTACCAAAATATTAGGACCTGTTGCATCTGGTCCAAAGGCCCATATACTTCGCGCGGCTAACAAATCCCAATCGTATTTCGTTTGGAAAAATTCTCCCAATTTTTTTCTATTAACAAAGTTGATCAATACAATGGTATGAAAGTTGGATAGTATTTATTGCATCGAAAATCTGTAATTAACTTACTTGTTCCAAGTAATTTTGACGTGTTCAGCTTCGATATCTTCCGCAAGACCTCTTTCAAGTGGTTCAGCGATCATCGTCAGTTTATTTCTCTTGTTCGGAGTTTCCGCGAAACATTTGAGCGAACTGGTTTCAACTACTGTTTCAGCAAATGCAACAACCGGATCAGCAACTTTGATATCTATCTCAGAATACATCCGGCGCAAATCGTGCATAGCACAATCCAAATATAATTCACCAGTTCCCAATACAACGTGTTCTCCGCTTTCTTCCACGCGTGTTCCTAATAGCGGATAACTTTTGTTCACTTTTCTTAAACCGTCCAACATTTTTGGAAGTTCCGATGGATTGACTGGTTCAACAGCTATTTTAATAACACTTTGGGTATTAAATTTTAACGGACGGAAGATATGTAGATCGTCTGTATTGTTGAGGTCGGTAATTGTACTGGTTTTTACTATCGGCCTGTCAATTCCTTCTATGAGTACCCAATTTCCTGCAGGTACACGACTCAATTCGATTGAATAACGTGCTTCACTGATCCATAGTCGACCGACAGTTAACACTCGTGAATCTTCTTCATCTGTTCGTGAATATGCTTCTCCTAAAACGCGTACACGTTGACCTGCTTCAAGCGTTCCTGACATTACTCTCCCTAAGACAACGAATAATGTACAGTCTTCTGTTGGATACATTTTTGTACTGTGAATCATTAATCTTCCCTGAAAATAAAAATAAAAATCATTTAAGAATAATATAATAATAATAAAGTATGTTAAGTATATGTTTTAAAAGTAAAAATGTTTACCTCAGGGTCACAATTAACCATATCCTGTGCAAGAGGAGAGTCTATAGGACCTGTGTAAACGTGCTGAACTTTTATTGGTGCATGTGCTTGTGGACTTGGAACGTGCATAACACACATGTCGACTAAACCACACATGTCTCCCAAAAAACGTGTGCACACCAAACGCAATAGTGGCCTAATATTCATTTTCATTTCTTCCGACGTCAATCTAATTCCTAATTCGCTGAGCACTGTAAAAATAAATAGTAAGTGAATAAATATATACCAAAGTGAGTTAATATATACTATATATTTAAAATCAATTAATATACTAACCATAAGGTAAAGTTGTATCCACATCCCCAACAACTTGTGCAAATATTTTATAAAGCGGTTCCAATATAAATTCGATAAAACTACGTTGCGCTGTATTATGTGGGGGTTTCTTAGTAAACTTTCGTGTTTTCGAATTAAAGTATATATCTCCCCATAATCTTTTTGAGAATTCATTTGTGTTAAGTGATGGGTAACTTTTGGCATAAAGGGCAGCAAAAGATTTAAGAGTAAAACAGACGTTATATTCGGAACTTGCGAAACACACATTTCCGATAGCTGGTGAAACGAAGGCTGTATTTTCGCTATCTGAATATAATGCGATTAAACCATTGATTTCTTCAATGATATGTCGTAATTTATAATATGCATCTAAAGGTGGTAATTTTAATTCCAGAACAAGACGATCTATTTTGTTGATGCATACAGTTAGCGCTAATTTTTCTTGTAATGCATGCTTTAATAAACGTTCCGTGTTAAGCATTACACCTTCTGCTGCATCAACGATAAGTATTGCACCATCTGACAAACGAATAGCCGCTGTTGCTTCATCCGAAAAATTCACATGACCTGGAGTATCAAATACATTTAACAAATATGATTTTGATTTAACATCTTGTAACAGCAGAGTCACAGGTGTTGCTTTTGTAGATACTCCACGTTGCTGCTCAGTAAACAAAGTATCCGTATACCTAAATAAACAAAATTTTAATACAAATTGAAATTAATTATTTTTCATAAATGTTATATTACCTCAAAGGTTTTTCATCGGTTACACTGTGTATATGAGGATGCGTTTGTCGTATAAGACAGTCAACTAAAGTAGTTTTTCCATGATGCAAATGTCCAAGTAATACGACGTTTCTAATTAAATGAGGAGCATCCATCATGTCAGCTAAGAATTCAATGCTATAAGTTGTCTCTGGAAGTTGTTGTTGTTTTATTTGAAATTTAGGTTTCCTAGTAGGTTCTATCAAAGGTTTATCTAATGGTTGCGCATCTTCTTCTTGTACGAGAGTTTCAACCTATCAAATACAAAGTCATATATATAAAAATGTAAAAAATAAATTTATTAATATGAATATTTTATTAATATTTTATTAATACTACCTCTGGACCATATACTTCTAGCGCACTAGGATAATATCTTTTATCTTCGTGTAAAACAACAGCTGTAGATAAACCTTGCTCCGCATTATCTCTAGATTCATCTTTGTCATCTTCCATCTCCTCATCAGAACGCTCCCTATCTTCTGCATCATCTCCAACATTTCCATATTCTGTTTCATCTTCGCTCTCTGATGCTAAGTCCGGTCCAATGTAATTACCAAATTCATCGTAAAGGTCAGCGTCCATGGTAATGTGTTGTAGTGAATAAAATAAACTTTCAAATTATTGAAACTAAAAAGAAGAATAAAATTAGTATAATTTTATCAATAAAATGATCAAAATATATTTGTAATATAAAGTATAAGTTATAACTTTGATAGGTTAAGATTTATATTATTTTGTTTTTATTACATAAAATTATGAAAAATTAAAAAATATTACTTACAATATAATCATGCATATCACTCTCTCTCTATTCTATAGTTAATTCTTAATATTTCTTTCAAAAACTAAATTCTTTAATTGTTTTCGTTATATATATATACACACATTAAATACCGCAATAATTCACATTCCCTAACCTATCATTTCTCGTGTCTAGTTAGAAGGACGCCGCGATAGATATTTAACATTGTAGCCAACCATTAAAAAATTAATCTTAGAAATGAATAAAGAATGAACGTCGGTATGTTCAATTCAACGTTTGTGATTGGTTATTTCACTTGGCTTTTATTCAAAGTAACAAGCAATTCACTTTTTTATACTTTAAGACTGTAGAAAGTATTATCTACAAATTAAAGTCGTGAATAATAAGAAGAGCGCAATTGTGTTATCAATCTCAGTAATAGATTATATCGATTGGTTTATATATTGAAAGTTTTCATAATTAGTATACATTATCATTTATTTATTTTTCAATATTTTATTAAACTATTTTTTAAACATACTTAAATAAACGATTTGTTCGTTAATACGAATGAAGAATAATTTTTATCAAACTAAACAGTTTGTGTGAAGTGTATTAGGTTAGAATATTTTATATATTACATGCAGGTTAGAAAAATAATATTTCGTATGAATTGATGTGTGTGTGATATTAGTTTAGAAGCGAATATACATAATAAAGTAGATATTATATATATATACGTATAATTTTTTAGGATTCATGTACATGTGAACATTGATGCGTTTGATACGCACACATATACACGTAAACTTTGTATACATATATATTTCGAAGGGTTGCGCATAGTAGAAAATATCTTCTGACTGACAGCTGGCAGCACGACACGCAGGAGTGGCAGATCATGTAAGGTGAGAAATAATTTTTCTTAATTATACGAAATATAAATAATATATAAAATATAATCTTTCACATTTTTATCAGTAAAATCTGTGCAATATTAATTATTATTGCAAACATTGTTCTATCATTTCATTGAGTATTTTTTTTTTACTTTGAATAAAAAGTAACATTATTCTCGTGCAAATAAAATTAAACACTTTAATGAATTACCTTTTTAAGTATCATAAATATTTTTATATTTTCAGCAGCGACAATTTTTCTTATAAAATAATTGTTTTGATATGTTTTTTCTTTTTATTATTTTCAGGAATTTTCATTGGAAAAAAACAATATTAGTTCAATTTGAGAGCAAAAGGACTGCCAAAATAATATTAGAAGAATTGGCAGGATAGGCAGACGTAGGCAGAACAGTGGGGGTGGGGGTGGGAGATTCAGAGGCGGTATGACACGACCTCCCAACAATGACAACCTTATGACCTTTAAATTGGTCGTGGTTGGAGATGGAGGAGTTGGAAAAAGTGCGTTGACCATACAGTTCTTTCAAAAATTATTTGTCACCGATTATGATCCTACCATCGAGGATAGTTACATTCAACATACCGAAGTAGATAACCAATGGTGTATTCTAGATGGTAAATATAAATTTCTATATATCTCTAATATATATATATATTTTCATCCAATTGTAATGTATAATTCAAATTCAGGATATCCCAATTTTTTCTCCCAAAATTTTATCAGCATATACTATAATTACAAATTCATATTATTAATATTTTTATTTATATGTTGATAAGATTTTGCAGAAAATATTAGGACATCTCATATAGATTATATTTTATTTATTCGTTGGTGCTAGTAAATGTGAAGCTTATTCAAATGTTACAAACATGAGAGATCGGTGTAGAATCAAATTAATTATGTAGAAGTAATATTATTGCTTTATAATTTAATAGTATATATCCTTTTCCTTTGTTAGAACAAATGTATTATATTTATATGATATAAAAAGTGTTAGAATTTGATATGTAAAGCATAAAAATGTATTTTGGTTGTATCTGCTAGTACTAGATACAGCTGGCCAGGAAGAGTTTAGTGCAATGCGTGAACAATACATGAGGAAGGGTGATGGATTTTTATTGGTATATTCTGTGACGGATAAACAGTCGTATGAAAACATTGTCAACTTTCATACTCAGATTCTTAGAGTTAAAGACAGAGATGTTTATCCTATGCTTCTCGTTGCCAATAAAGTTGATTTAGTACACTTAAGAAAAGTGACAGAAGAACAGGGACGGGAATTGGCACATCGTTTGGGTATTCCTTATATTGAAACTTCTGCCAAAGATCCACCTCTAAATGTGGATGCTGCGTTTCATGAAGTAGGTATCTAGTAGTATATAGTATAATTTAGGAATAGAAAATAATAGAAGACGTAGTTAATTTTATTTAATAGTTATTGCTTTGGTACCCCATTATATTTAATCTTGCATGTATAAGATTTATATTAAATTAGTCACAACAACAACAACAACAAAAAGTTGTGAGATTTATAATTAGTAACAAAAGATAGAAATGTTTTAAATATATTCAGTATCACGATACATGTTAATAATTCTTTAGGTTGTACGCATAATTAGAAATCAACCGCCAGCTGAATTGGAAAAAAATCGTCGAAAACGAAGACGTACCGGAAAGTGCAATGTTCTTTAAGTCTCTTGGTAATATTATTGCAAAAGGAATAAGGTTTTGTTACCTAATATTCTAAGCACACATTTATTCATACAAAAAATGCCACAAAAGCTAAGACGAATCATTTTCACAATCATTAGTTCACCGATAATATATATCAATGCCTGTGTTTCAAATGCACAGTTATATATTTCATTTCTTGCTATTCGATTATAATATTATTAGTTATTCGTTGTATTATCGATTAATGTTTCTTTAAATTAGCGTATCGACTAGGATTCAATAATGGATATCATCGACTCAAAAAGAAAAAAGAAAAAGAAGAAGAAAAAAAGAAAAAAGAAAACAAGAAATATGGCATAGTTAGTTGTAAATTACATTCGTCGCATTGAATTCTGCATTGATTTAGATTAAGCTACTCAAAAGTAACATTAGATGGAAATATTGACCATTAATCTTTTGTGTACAATACGGGAAGACTACGGGGTCTTCATTCTTGCATACACATCAATTTTCTACCATCGATAATGTAACACGGAATTGAACGTTTTTTATTGCATAATTATAGGGAAGGGTTTTTAACTTCTCCTTGTAAAAACTTGTCATGAAATGACTATAATGGTTTTATATATATCGACTCAGCTCATATTTTAAAAAGGCTGTCGAAAGTTCTAGCTTTAAGCGTATTTATTTTCCTAATTAAATAATTATTTCACTCCATTATTTCAATTCTGGTTGATCTTCTAACATAAGAGATAAATGAAAAAAAGAAAAAAGAAAAAAAAAAAAAAAGAGAAAAGCTATCGTGAGAATATTCATTTAATTATTTTCGAATGATTCGTATTATTATTATTTTTATTATTATTTTTTTATTATTATTATC